ATTTACGTTTTTACGGTAGCTCTGAGCGGGACTCGAACCCACTGTCCTTTCAAGCTAATTTTGTTTTATTTTGATGGCACGCTTGTGTACCACGCCACGACGTTGGTCGTTAAGTGATGTTCATTTTTCTAACTACTCCAGTGTTCCGATGAGTTGAACGGAAAAGCCAAAACGATTGCTGGTTTCTGATTGCTTCGGTTCTGGTGAGTGTGTATCTAGTGTGATTCGAACCCATGTCGTTTGTATTGGGCGTTTTTTTATTTCCCATGTTAGCTACGCCGTAATATGCAACCACTTCCCCGTTTTATTGTGATTTTGAGTGTTTAATGATGTCTTCCTCACGCGTCACGCCATGACCCAGTTTCAACCACACGGCCATTTTGCAACACAGTTCGTGACCCTCGGCGTCACCCAACTGACTATATGAGCGTTCTCTTCAACTGTTAAGCTAGTAGGATTTATTACCGTTATTATCATTATATTGTCACGTGATTTGTTTTACCTTATGTGTAATGTCTTAAGTATCTTTATTGTAATTTGTATATACCAATTCGTATATACCGAGGAAACGACCCCGATTGAAGGTCATGTATTTTATGACGTCACCAATTCGTGTGTAGGTACTGCTTCTAGATCTGTGCCAAAGGGAATTTTATATTTGTGACGTCGATTGTTACACCTAGAAGCACAATATCACGCGTACAAGTGTACATGACCCCCCCAAAACGGCATGCGCACGCATGCGAAACGCCGTATCTTCCACTTCCGAGAAGTGGGCTTTATTACAACATTGGCACAGACACACTATATCAGTTTGGTGATGGTCTGCAGGCAATGTGTCAAAAAAATGACATTTATATAAGGAAAAAGGCATGTTCACAAACAGATAGGGGCCCAAACTTTCAATGGGAAAGGGTAGAAGTGTCAGCTACCATTTAATATTTCTATTTAAAAGTCATTAAGGAATTAATAATTAGAAACTCTGGGGGGGGGGCGATGGCAGAATTTGAAAAAAAAAATGATTTGCACAGGAAAGAAACAAATAAAAGTTAGCGCAAAACTAAGTGAGAAAAAACTATTTTGCACATTTTTTAAGCAGTGCATTTTTTTTTGCTTTGCCAACAATTATTCCTAACACCTTGCATGCAATTTCTTTTTCTCCATGTCTAGCTTGCAATTTTTTTGTTCAACAAATCTTCCAGCCACATTCATGACTTCAAATAATTTAATTCTTAATTTGTTTCAGGAGAAACTTTTGCTCACTGTTTAAAACACAAATCATACAATTTAAAATTGGTGAGAAAATATGTTGCTGACTTGCAACATTAATTAAGCTCACTAACTTTTTCTCACCTGTTATTCAACCTCACTGAGGGCATTCATGATACATATACAGCATATAAACTTGTTGTCGTTGAAACTGATGGCATTTGTAAACAAGGAATATACAGTAAAGGGCATAAAGCTGTGGTTGTTATAACTGTTTTATAAATACACATTTTTCTAAATCAACATGGATGTTTGAATTCAAGTTTATGTGTGCATGCATGCCCTCATGTGACATAGCTGTAACATTTCCAAAATAAGACTTGTTGATTGGACAGTGTTGAACGATCTCATTAGTATTAACTAGTACTTCTATGACATGGTGTTTGTGTTGTTCACATTTTAAATGTGTCTACAAAAATGTATGTGGAATTATTCAGTACAAGTTTTATCCCATTTCTTATTTGTGCACAGGCCACATACACACCTCTCTTGCATATGTCAAAATTAGAATTTGTGTGGTCTTCAAAAGTTTGCTTTCAATAGATTTTGTTTTCTTGATGTTTACTTGCAGTCCCCATTTGTTTGCATAGCTGTCCAGACCCTGCATGGAAGTTTGTAGGCCTTTTTCGACAGGAATTATTTTGAATAAATTTGATGTTTTGCATAAATCAATCATGACTGAGGGAAAGGCATAGGCTTTTGGGTAATAATAACTACCAAACACCTTCTCTAGCCAATTAATATCATCCAATTTGCATGGTTTTGCGGAAGCCATGGTCATTCTTATGAACCTGAGTGATTGTAATAGGAAAAGCTGTATTTGACCTCAGTTAATTGGCAGTGGTGGCCGCGACACGTCCTGTTTGTATATGCCGGTAAAATACCATGTTTGTTTACATGAAATTTGAACACACGTTGTACGACGACCACCGCACTTTAAATTGAATGATTTGATTGAACATACCACAAAGCTGGATTCACCAATCAGAGTCCCTGTAAAAACAACTATCAATTTCAAAATTAAACCAATGGAGTTTGCCGTCTTACATCAAGTCATAGCTTAACTGATAAAAACACTTGACTTTGTGTTTTATTTAGCATGGGAATGCCCAAGAGCACATCGATGTGTTTGATTTTGTCAACAGTGAATACAGGTTTATAGTGGCCATTCTGCAAAGTATAATCAAGAGGCGACAGATAAATAAATGGATATTGGCTGGTGAAGATGGCCAATTAATAGTAAAGGATTTTCTGGAGGTATTGTGGCATCCAACCTGGCTTTCAAATTTCCTACATTATTTCTAGGGTGATGAATTTGAGTTGCAGGTGTTAATCTGGTAAATATCTTATTTATACCACATTGAGGTCAACAAATCATGTACTTTATAAACTCAAAACAGTCACACATTGTATGAGTGTATACAATGATTTGGGATGTTCTAATTTCTGCGTGATGCATGTACGCATTGTGGTATAGAGGAGACTATGTAGCATATCCAATTCAACTGTCTTGTGTGATTTCAATGAAACTGATTTCAAACAAAAACAGTTGGGTTTCACAGAATGGGTTTGTTTGTTTGTTGACCTCAGCCACTGTCCTCAACCCACTGTCCCAGTTGAGGGACGGCGCTCCAGGATACAATAATCTGTTGGTACGTTATCAAATAAACAATCTCTTACACATTTAGTTTCTATTTGTGGGTTATTTTATTTCTTGTAAGCCTCTGTTACGACAACATGGTTTCATTATTTCTGTCAACCATTTTCTTAAGTTCTCATATTAAATGTGTTTTTGTTGTTGAGAATTTAATACCACAGATATACAGATTCTATAAAAGGAGTAATAATATCATACGTAATATACCATAGATCTTAATTTGAAACAAGGATGCACGTCAAATGGCTGTTTCCAGCATGTCAACACCTAGGTAACATAGCTTTGTTTTTGGCTTTAGTGCCGTGCCATAACTGCAACAGAAGACTATAGGGATTTTAATTAATTGGTTATATACATAATAATCATGTAAACAGATCCAATTAAAAAAATTTTGTTAGCATTTACTATGCCAAAAAATTATTATATAAATAGGAGACAAGTACCAGGTAGTAGAGCTTGGTCACACATCACCATCACCACAGATTACAACAACCAGTGTTTTGTAAAAAGGTGGGGGATAGAGTGACAGTAGAACTGCTGAGGTGAGGTGAGTTTGAGCACTACTATACAGAAGGCAGGTGAGGGGGAGGGGGGGATAAGTGAAATTTTTGATTTAAGGAAATTCAGTTACTGCCTCAGAATATCATTTTATATAGGTAAGCTTCTTACAAGTTGTTTGACTATTAAGAAACCAAATTATTTTGTCAAAAAAACATATATGAAGGCAATACTTTTGATACATATCTGTGGACATTTTACTGTTGATGACATCTGGATTCATTTCATTTGCCTATTTGACCTATTGACACCATCAATATGTTACATAAAATAACTTCTTTTTTTTTAACAAGTGTAATACACAAAACCATTGATGGGAAATGTTGCTGATCAATGTCATCAACAGTAAAACTGCCAATGAAATACTGAGTTGCATACCAAACAACACTTTTCTACATTTCCATGCTGCCTTTAAAAATGTACATAATATTCAATAAACTTGAGCAACTACAAAAAAAAAATCCCTTCAAGACAGATAATATTCGACAAGGTTACAGTAATTGAAGAGAAAAAAAGCAAAGTATTATTTTTTTTTTTTTTTTTTAAATCAACAGTCATTAAATTTATCACATATTATCACTTCACATAACTCCATAATATCAGTCTGTCAATTATATTTCCATTTTATATTTGAAAGATACAAACCAGATCAATCTAGTTTGAACCAGTTTAGGTCACTTCCTCTAAAGTATCTATCATCTACTAATACTTGATACAATTACATAAATCGCATGTCATACACTCACGTAATTACGAGATGATAAGTTATTCACGTCACCATTTTATTCACATCACAATTTTTCCCCCTCTATCTAACAGTATTGCTTTTTATGATTCAATAAATTCAATAAAACACTTCACAACTTAATTTTGTTACTCGTATTTGCATGCGCATTCACCGTCTCACACTCAATGGTAGAAAACACTGCAACCAAACAGTACCTGGAGTACATGTATGAATTACCCAATAGTTCGCAACTACTGAATCTATTCAGAAACACCAGCTTGATTCAAAAATATAAACAAAAATCACAATTACAAATAATATTCAAAATCAGAGCAGCTGTACACAATGCAAAGCAGTGGCCAAGATAAAAAAAAAAACTCTGAGAAGAATCATCTTCGATAACAATCACAAGTGAAATAAAAGATGGTTGCCAAGAAATGATTCAAGAATGTGACAAACTGCACTTTGACACTCCGTCGTGGCAGTACAGCTGGATAAATGTGTGGCAGTTTCTGTTTCAGTACATATATATGATGTAAGCTTTTTATGACAAAAAGGATTTATCAGCTTTGCCAAATTTAGGGGATGCTACCACAAGATGCAATATTAAGTCAACCACATTGACAACTCTCAGGGTATCCCTTACTCTTCAAAATCCCTGTGTCATCATAATATTGTAAATTGTTCAGTAATCATTAACTGAATTATAGAGAAAAACAATAGTACTACTTCACAAGGTAAGTGAAATACCACTGATATTTTAGCATGGAATATGCCCTCAATGGTAGACCTCATTAATCAACAAAATCTAGCCATAGAAGGAGGGCTTCAAACCTGACTGACATTTAACTTCCCAAATACCTGGGCTTTTAACCTTTTCACCACCAGTTCCCACTTTTCATCCCAATTTCACAAAACAGTCCAGTTCATAGTCTGTACTTTCCTCAGAAGATTAGGACAAAAATAGTAAATTTTTTTTACGCCGAAATTCTTTTCCAGAAATATTGAAGAATATATGAACAAGCCATGCATGGCACAGTCCCCGTTAGTTATCAAATTTGAGATATATAGTTATGTTTATCGTAATATAGCTGGAATATAACCATGTCAGGAATATGATTTTTTTAACACTAAAATGATTGACATTTGTATCTGATCCTCAAACAAGTAGATATTGCTCTGGAACAGCATTCAAAATCAGCCATTTTGAATACATGTATATATATATATATATATATATATATATATATATATATATAACATGATGTATAACGAATATATAAAATTTGAATATAATCAGTCAAAGTATTTAAGAGATATGGCTCTAGAAGCCCAATCATTAAAACAAAATGGCCACCAGTCAGCTATTTTGAATCCAATCTGAAAATAAAATGACATGCATCAGGAACCTGTAATGTCTAATGTGTGTTATAAGTTTGAACAAAATCCAT